AAGCTGACAAGTCTGCTGCCATGGTTCGTGGCGTGCGTGGCGCGGGGGAGAAGGAGCGCCCTTATTGCACAAACTGTCTCAAACCGGGGCATGTACGTGAGTCCTACTATGAAATAATTGGCTACCCGCCAGGCTAGAACACACGAGAAAAGTAGGGAGGCAGACCCAATCGGCGTCGTCATCAAGATTCTGGCCGAGACTCTGGCCGAGATGCGGCGCCGTCCCGTGGACAAGGAAAAGGGCCGAGAGCTTCGCAAGCTGATGTCGAAGCGAGCCCTGTTGCTGGTTTTACTCTCCAACAACTTGACCAGTTGAAGAACTTCTTTGGGAATCAATTTCCAGGCGCTGCGGATCCTATGAGCAATATGGCGGGTACGTTCTCTTTTTCCGATGCATCCGAATGGCTCATTGATTCAGGATGCAATGAACATATAGTTATGAATGATACTGGTTTATTTGCTTCTAACACTAGTTTGCCAAATCATCCGGTTCGTATTCCAAACGGCGCGAGCGTACCAGTCAAACGGATTGGTTCCATGAAGCTGAATGCTCAACTGACCCTTGAGCGGGTTTTATATGTCCCTGAATTCAGATGTAACCTCCTCTCGGTAAGTCGTCTGTGTAAAGAGCATAATGTTGCCTTAATCTTCCTTGGCGATTTTTGTATCATACAGGACTTACGCTCCAGGAGCGTGATTGGGAAGGGTGAGATGCGTGATGGTCTTTATTTCTTGCGATTGTTTGGCTGTCATCGGACTCGAGCTAATGCGGCGGCAGAGACATCCAGGCTTCGCAATATTCCATGGCATGTGCGCTTGGGACATCCCTCGGCGGGTGTCATGGCTCAGCTTCGTAGTGTTTTGTCTTTACCAGTAGCGTCGGAAAATGAACTATGTCATTCGTGTTCACGAGCTAAGCAAGTGCGAAACCGCTCCCTGTTAGTGGTATTCGTACTTCTGCTTGTTTTGAGATGTTGCACATGGATATTTGGGGCGGATATTCCACACCGTCATATAGTGGGGCACATTATTTCTTAACTATTGTTGATGATTTCAGTCGTGGAGTTTGGGTTTACCTTATCAAATTTAAGTCGGAGGTTGGACGATACTTACAATTTTTTTGCAGTCTGGTTCGAACTCAGTTTGGAAAACAGGTGAAGTGTATTCAAACGTACAACGGTCCCGAGTTCAATACCACTGTCTTACAGGCTTTCTATGAAAAGGAAGGAATCATCCTTCAAACTTCTTGTACTTACATGCCTCAGCAAAATGGCGTCGTGGAACGTAAGCATCGTCACCTCTTGGAAACAGCACGGGCTTTAAGGTTCCAGGCTTCCCTACCAATTCTTTTTTGGGGTGAATGTGTACTCACGGCAGCATATTTGATTAACCGTTTGCCAACTACAGCAACGGGTCGTACTCCGTATGAAGTGATTTTTAATAAGCAAGCATCTTATTCTCACCTGCGTGTTTTTGGATGTCTCGTGTATTGCAAGGACACTCATGCTCACCTTGGAAAATTCGCCGATCGCGGCCGAGCTTGCATTTTCGTGGGTTATGCATCCACCCAAAAGGGTTACAGAGTATATGATTTGATCAGCAAGAAAATTTACACTAGCCGTGATATTATATTTCATGAGACTGTGTTTCCTTTTCAACCAGGAACTTCGCAAGAGTTTTCTTGGGTGCCCTCTTACACTTTTGATCGCTCCAGCAACGCAAATAATGATGAGCTGCTGCTTGCCGAAGACACTCATGGCCCATTACAAAATCAGGCCCGTCCCCCTCAGCTTGCGGACGCATCTGGGCCAAGCATTGGGCCTGGTAATCACAGCCCATCCCCACAGTCGCCAGACACATCCAAGTCGCCGACAGGGCCCTCGTCGGTTGAGTCCTCTCCCGCTAGTCCGGCCCGCCTCGTTCAGCAGTCCAACGAGATCATTCATGTTGATCCCCTGACAAATCCATCATCGGCACTACCCCGTGGTTTTTATCCAGCTCCGCCACCTCAGCCATTGCGGAGAAGCAACCGCGTTCGGACTCGACCCCGACATCTTGACATATATGACACAGGAAGTCAAGCAAACCTAGTGCATTATCCCTTGTCCACACATCTTTCCTATGAGCATTTCACGCCTGCTTACTGTGCATTTCTAGCTGCAGTGGCCCATCATCTGGAGCCTCGGTCTTTTTTTGAAGCAGTCAGAGAAGAGTGTTGGCGTCGAGCCATGTCGGCCGAGTTTTTGGACCTTGAACAAAATGGGACTTGGAGTCTCGTCTATCTCCCACCAGGCAAGCGTCTTATTGGTTACAAGTGGGTATATAAGATCAAATTTAATCCAGATGGCTCTGTCGAAAGGCACAAAGCTCGCCTCGTTGCGAAAGGGTATACTTAGATTGAAGGGGTTGACTTTCATGACACTTTCGCACCGGTTGCCAAGCTTGTCACTGTCCGTTGTCTCATTGCCGTCGCTGTCAGCAGAAATTGGCACATACATTAGCTGGATGTGAACAATGCTTTTCTGCATGGAGATCTCGATCAAGAAGTTTACATGCAGATTCCCCCAGGTTTTGCAGCTCCTGGTGATACGAGAGTCTGTCGCCTGCACAAGTCTCTCTATGGCTTGCGTCAGGCCTCTCGTAACTGGTATCACAAGTTTACTCAGGCGTTGTGTGAATTGAAGTTTAAGTGTTCCCCCGCCGATCATTCCTTCTTCACCTACCGGCAAGGGAACACCCACGTCGTGGCACTTATCTATGTAGACGACGTTATCTTGGCCAGCAACAGTCTTGAATTCATCTCTCATGTCAAAGCTTTCCTACATGCTCGGTTCAGCATAAAGGATCTCGGGTCACTGCGTTACTTCTTGGGTTTAGAAGTAGCTAGGACGGCCACTGGTGTCGTTTTGAGCCAGAGGAAGTATCTTCTTGACATCCTGGCAGACTCTGGCGCTTTGGGCAGCAAGCCCAGTGCTTTTCCTGTTGAGAAGAACCATCAGTTAACTCGTCCTGCTCCTGCTGATCATCCGGATCCTGCTAGTTATCGGCGCCTCGTGGGCCGCCTACTTTACCTGACGGTTACACGACCAGACATTACATATGGAGTTAATGTCCTTAGCCAGTTTGTTAATTCGCCCACTCGAGCTCATATGGATGCAGCTCAGCGCATTCTTCGTTACCTCAAGAGTGCTCCTGGTCAAGGTTTGTTCTTCCCGTCCACTAACACTCTTGATTTGACCGCTTATTGTGATGCAGATTGGGGAGGCTGTCAGACCACCAGAAGGTCTACTACAGGTTATGTCATCACATTGGGTGGTGTTCCTATTTCTTGGCGCACGAAGAAACAGCAGGTGGTAGCTCGCTCTTCGGCCGAGGCCGAGTACCGGGCCATGGCACACACTGTCAGTGAAGTGCTGTGGTTACGATGGCTTTTACAGGAGCTTGGTGTACCGCAGAACGGTCACACGCCTATCTACTGCGACAATCAGGCCGCCTTGCACATCTCAGCCAACCCCGTCTTTCATGAGCGAACCAAACACGTCGAGATGGACTATTATTTTGTTCGTGAAAGGGTGCAGTCGGGTGATATCAAGCCGCTGAAGATCAGCTCCCAACATCAGCTCGCCGATATGTTCACCAAGGGCCTGGGTGCTGATCGTTTCCATTTCTTGTTGTCCAAGCTGCGCGTTCGCAATCTCTACGCTGCAGCTTGCGGGGGAGTATTGGAGTTGGCCCATCAGTCCGAGTCGGCAAAGCCCAGGCAGCTCCAGCCCACACATGTTGCCTCGGACGAGTTACGTGTTGCCTGTGGCGCATTTACTTGTCCTTGTCCTCATTGCATAACCCTAAATGATTGTAACAGAGGGTATATATGTGCTGTAAGGCCTTTGGCCGAATCATAAGAATCAATAATAAGATTACAGCCGGAGAGGTGATCTCTCCTGTGGACTAGTCCCGATCTTCAGGGAAACCACGTAAAACCTTGGTGTCTTGCGTACTCGTTCATCGTTTTCTCGGCATTTATTAGACCTGTCCCTGCCCAAGCAACACAAGAAAAAATGCCCAAACCCATGGGCCAACAAAACCCTCGGCCGAACCGAAAAGGCTTCAGGGTCAGCAACAACGAGCCAGAGTACATCAACCAAAAATAACATCTCAAAGGAAACGACCATGAATCCGAAGAACAATCTCCTAATCCCAAAGCACAACAAAGTGCTCCAAATTAAACGACCCGGGAGAACATAGAGCCTAGAGAACCAAACGACGTCCACCTCTGCAAGAACCGAACAACAATGGCCGCAATAAATGAAACCCTCAAACAACCACAAGTGAGTGAAGCGCTAGATCAAATTCAGAAGCAAGGATTGATGATCCTATGGTCGCTGAAATGCTCGTTCTTCAGGAGGCTATTCTCCAGTTCCTGGCGAACGGGTTTACAGAGGCGAGATTTGAAGGTGACGCCAAAGTGATCATTGATAAAATCAATAGGGTTGAGACCAGGGATAGTCGGATTGGAGCCCTTCCTGAGGAGATCGTGATTCATAGTGGGCTTAGTGTACGATTTATAGGCCAGCGTAGTAATAGGTTAGCCCATTTGGTGGCTAGAAAGGCCCTTCAATTGTACCAGACTACTAGTCATTTCTTTGATTTTATGACCTGGTTAAATTTCAAGATGTAATTATCTTTTTTCTGATCAATATATATATATATATATATATATATGATTATCTTTTATAAAAAAATATTGGTGTTGGCAGAGGTAAAAATACAAATTATTCTTATATCATTAGGAATGGCAATTCGGCAGGACAGGGGCGGATATCTCGATACCCATATCTGCCTAATAGCAGGTCGCGTAATTTAAAATGGGGCGCGGGTCAGGGCAGGTGGACCCAATTGGTTTGTAATTTGTGTGGAAACAATAGAAATATTCATGAGAATAACTAGAAACAAATCATACACTCACCAAGGGTGTTCTTGCGAGCAACTAGGATCAATACACTCTGGCGTAAAAGAATATCTGCTAAGCTGCAATTTAAGGACGAGAGAAAGAAGAACACCCAAACAAAAACAAAAAACAGACGCGCCATTACCACTTCCATGAACCATCTCCTCGCTCTCATCCATGCTTTGCTTTCAAAGATTTGCTCCGGACAGCCGGCACTGAAAAATGAATTATATGAATTCATCACCATTAACACATGCGCGCATAATAATGTGGAGATCACTAGCTAGTACTGATTGAGAGGGACGATCGATGGAGAGCGAACTCAACTCACCAAGGTGTTCTTCGTCAGGGGACCTTAAACCACGACGGAGAATTGCTCGACCAGCCAAGGTAGGTCGAGCTCCTCCCATGAAAGAAAGTACCACAACAATCAGCAGGCCAACTACCAGACGAAGCAGAAACTGCATGTTCACCATTTTCTTCATACTGAATAATATATAGACAGATATGGATATGGTTGATCTTTCTGGTCTCACTGGGCTGTAAATACTGAATGAATATAGACATATATTACAGAGGAGGTTTTACGTTTTCGACATTTAAAATAAATTCAGTTCTATATATTATCCTAGGTTGTTGTGGGTTTTGAAACCATTTCTAAAACCAACCGATTCTGAATGATCAAAACCAGCTAGCTAGCAGCCCCAATCCGTTAGCAGTTACCGTGAAAAGAGAGGAAATGTCACATGCATGGGGACGTGCATTTATGAGTTTTACGTTTTCTTTCGCAGGCGTTAGGGTTTGGTCATCTAAACTGGCAGTCGTTCGTAAAAGTCCCTAGTTTTTGGACCGCCCGGTCTGTTGGCGGTGCAGGTGCAGTTAGCGGACAATCGTATCCAGTGGCGGAGCCAGAAAATTGGCCAAGGGGGTGTCTTTAACATGTCATAAAAAATCACATATACAATAGAAAAGTCAACTTTAAATTAAACAAAAAGTCAACAACGCAATACTCTAAATTTATACAATTACATTAAAATAGTTTCACGTACACCGGTTACAACGTCAAACAAATAAGTTTAGTACATACAAGTCAAGACTTCCATTCATCAAATATTACAAATTAGAACTCAGAAGTACCTTGGAATTGATTTTGTGAAACAAACAAGTGAACTTCAATTGGTACTTCTTCACTTTCAGCTTTGTTTAAACAAAAGACAAGAAATTTCTCTGTTGTAGAGCTACAAAAGAAATGAACGAGTTTAAACAAAAGACAACAATTTATTACTATAAATACATACGCGAAAGTGCGTCGCATAACAAAAGTCACTCGGTTCGAATAGTCACTGATTCGAATTTGTATATACCCCTACTCGAAAAAAAATTCTCCAAACCCAAGGGGGGTGCAAGCACCCCCCTCCTCTCCAAGTGGCTCCGCCACTGATCGTATCCTATTCAGGTGGCTGCATCTGCAATATGGGTAGGGGTGGCTATACGGTCCAGTCCGGTTAAATTGGCCGGAATTGATTGGTCCCGATTCGGTCTTTTCGGAAATATAAGGACTAAAGATTGGATTGGATACAGTCTGGTTTTGACCCGGTCCGGTCCCAATTTGGTTTTGATTCTAGATTGAGCTTGTGGGGATTTGAGTGGCCTGAGGCCTCAAAGGGTGAGGAGTTTTGGTTGTTGGGGTCTCTTATTCGGTCTTTATCCGATTTTTTATCCGGTCCCAAACGGTTTTTTACCTCAAATCTAAGCCCGAATATGAGATTGGATTGTTTGCTATCCGATCCCAGTCCGTCTCAGTCCGGGTTATACGGTCCGGTTTCGGGTAAAACCAAACAGTCCGGACCAAATAGCCAGCCCTAAATATGGGGAGTCATTGTTTGTAGTTTCTAATTTTTCCTTGGTGTTTTTGTAAGTCTGCGTAGCTAATTGTTTGTAATATGGTTGTCAGGCCCAATGTAGCCAAAATCGTGCTTTAAAACTTACGATTTTACGTTTCTAGATCACTACAACGCTTCTACACAAAATTTCAGTTGTTATAACTTATGTAGTTAAAAACTCCGCTTTAAAAACTTACGATTTTACGCTTCTAAATCACCAAAACGCTTCTATGTAAAAACTCGTTTTTTACTACATTGGTCATGTCACTCGGTTGAGCTTACTTCAACCAATGTTAGTGATAAAACTGGTATAAACACCACCTGTGTGACCTGATCGATTAAGATATTTAAGTAAAATGAAGTCATTTTAGTAATTTTAATTAATTGAAAAATAATTTATTCTATGAATTTAAATGTTAAGTGTTTATGTTGTTTGTTGTATTTAATTATAAACATCTATGAAGCGATGTTAAATTATGTTTATAACCAATGTAGTCAAAAGCGTGTTTCTATGTAGAAGCGTTTTGGTGACCTAGAAGCGTAAAATCGTAAGTTTTTAAACTTCTAAAACGTAGTTTTTAACTACATTAGCTATAAAAACGGTGCTTATGCGTAGAAGCATTTTGGTGATCTAGAAGCGTAAAAGTATAAGTTTTTAAACTTTAAAGTACAGATTTTAACTACATTGTTTATAACCATGATTATTTGTTATTTTATTTTGAAGTGTAGTATTTTATTTAAATGTGAATATGGATTGTAAGTAAATTGTCTTCAAATATGTTTTATATGTAATTAAATTCATTAGATCTTAATGGTACTTAACAATCCTACATTTTTTTGTTAAACCGGCACGAACTAATTGTACCACTCGTCGAACCATTCTACTTGCTAAATCGGTTTAACAACCTTGGTTTGTAATCAGTCATGTTAGAAGTTGAAAGTTCATGGATCATTATGTAATTAGACATATGTTAGTAGTTATGTTGTAGAAGCTAGAGATGCATGCGGATGCTTGTGAGTCTGCATTGTACGTAGAAATGGCAATCAAATCTCATGACCGCAGTTATCCGACCGTCCCCGACCCAGTAAAAAAAACAGCAGAGCTACCTGTCTTATCTACATCCCTGATTAGTGATTACTACTAAACCCGCCGTAACAAGTTTTTAACCCTTCCATAATGCGTCAGGATAGAATCCATGAGGAAACCTAACAACAAAAAGAGATCAATTCATTCATTTCAATTCCCAGTGGCCTTCATCTCCAATTCGTGGAGGTTCAGCAGCAAATCGCCCGAGTCAAGGAAGACTTTGTTCGATGAACGCGACATTGTGTTTGCAATCTCTCTGGCAGCTTCAATCTTCCTCAGGGTGATGAAAGCAGGATTGTTTGCAATTGCTTGTCCGATCAGCTGCGCACTCTTGGCTTCACCCTGTCGTCATAAGAGTTGGGAAGACAAATAGATTATTAAAACCATGGCACATAAAATAATTGAGAAATTTGGGCAAAAACTACAATAAAGATTATTCAAACTAACAACCTCTGCTCTGATAATGGCACTCTTCTTGTCCTGTTCAGCCTTCTCCACGATGAACTTAGCCCTCTCTGCCTCCTGAGCAGCCACTTGTTTCGCCTCAATCGCAGCAGTGAACTCTTTGCCAAAAGTCAGACTAGTGATGGAAACATCATCCAGTGCAATGTTGAAATATTTGGCCTTTGCTGTCATGATCCTCCTTATTTCTCTACTAACATCCTAACAAAAAGAGCACAAATAGACATATGATTTGGCACTAGGGCAGTTGAACAGCCAGTTGGATCAGGTTCAACCAAAACAAAGCATAAAACTGTTGTTGCCACATGAAGTACCACACAACCCTTCGTGAAAAGAATGATAGATCAGATATACCCTTCGTGAAAAGGATAGCAATCACATGAAATGGATAAACTACAACAAGAAAAAACTTAACCATGTGAACAACAATACAAGAAAGGTCACACTACCTCTCTCTGAGTGATTAGCTGGCTGGCATTGTACCGTGCAACCACCGCTTTCAGAGTTTCGTGAATGATGTTAGGCATCACCCTCTCGTTATAATTCATACCCATGGTCCTAAAGACTGTGGGCAACTGATCCGCCACAGGACGAGACAGGACTCGAAGCCCAATCTTGACCTGTCAATGAAGGAAATTCAAGACAGAAAATGGAACTTAATATCAATAGCAGCACATAAACCGTGCGAAAAACTTACACTCCACAACCAAAACTGGCCTCGGTTTGAAAAACGATTTAAAAGGTCTGGCCTTAATTTGAAGAATTCAATGTTTGCTAATGAGCAACAATGGCGCCGATACACCAGATCTACGCACTTAACCACAGAGCAATTTTCAGAACCAACAAGCATCAAATTGTATCCATCTTAAACATAATTTACAGGCTTCAACCCTCATGGATTCAAAATAGTTCAAAAAGTTGTTTGAAATGGAACCGGAAAAAGGAAACATAACTAGCAGAAGCAAGAAGAAAAATCCGAAAAGGCACATTCGGTAGTCATCAGGTGGACTTTCCTAACAGCAACTACAGATTTTCGTAGCATCTAGAACAATTTACCGAGAAAATCATGCACCATACAGATGCAACTCCAGGTAAGCAAACACATCTCATAACAACTTATGCGCTATGGGAGAACATAACATAGGCTTATACCGAAAGAAAGAATATCACAAAGACATGTTGGGCAAAGGGGATGGAAGGATCAAGCCAAAGGCACAAATAAACCAACACCCTACGGTGGTGGAGAAAACATGCATCCAAAGTTCCTATGAAGATCCCTTATCCAAAAAAAAAAAAGTTGCTAGGAAGAGTTTAGGATCCCGCTCAAGAACCACTAGAAACATACCAGAAATGAGTCAATACAAAGACTAGATTACGACACCTTCTTAATGTGAGACCACAATACAGCATTCATAATAGCTACATTAATCGGCATTGTCATCAAGAACAAACCAAACCACTCAACCAGAGAAGCAGGCATAACATGGAAGGCAGTAAACAATAATACATACGTTGATTTGAGGAGTGTATGAGCAAACATCACTGCCCAACAAAACAATCATACAACCCAAAAAAACAGAATACGGGGGCCAAGCAAGCTTACCATTTGAAGATCACGACTCCCAGATGTACTCTCCACAAGATGAGGACGCGCCCTGACGTCATAGATGATCGGGACTTGAAACCAGGGGAAGACAAAGTGGGTTCCTTCTGGGTAAGTCTGTTCGACATCGCATCTTAGGGTAAATGAATTCGTCCAAAACGGGTACAATCAAATCGGAATAGTTAGGGACACTAAATCGCGACCTTGTTATGGATGCCGGTAATCCGATTGAAGACGATGGCACGGTGGCCACCTTCCACATTGTAGAGGCAGTTCGCAGCGGCGTAAACGACAGCTCCAGCAGCGACCCCCAACTTGACCAGAAGAGATCCCAATTGGGCGTTAGTAATATTCGGGGTGTTGTTCGAAACCATCTGCGCAAGTATTGAAAACAGCCGAAAACAGAGAGTCAAAAAATGGCGGACGAATCAGATCGCTCCAACTCCTTAAACCCACAGAAACAAAAACGAAGACGATGACGATGAAGACGAATCGAGAACAAGCAGGGCGGGAGTAAAATTCCGGTAAGCGACGGCGAAGCAGATAAACAAACCTCAACTCAAAGCACCGGGCACGGGAGAGGTGAATTGCGAGGAGGGATTTGGGATTTGAGAGGGAGACGATCAGTGCATTCAGCTCTCACTTTCCTTTCCTCTTAGGGTTTTAAGGGTTTAAGGTCTGAGCGAACTTGGATAACAAGTCAGTTTAGTATTTTAGAGTTCCATTTTTATTTCGGGAGAAATTGATTATTGATGATTTAAGAAAAAACAAAATTTGGGGAAAGCAAAAAATTGGGGGAAAAAATGGAGATGCGGGGTATCGATCCCCGTACCTCTCGCATGCTAAGCGAGCGCTCTACCATCTGAGCTACATCCCCTTTGTGGTTTGGTTATTCTTATACTTATACAAATACCAAACTTAGTTCCTGTCCATAGATCCAAAGTTCATAGCAAAGCATGATCTCACTCAACCTCATCCAAGCATTCTTTTCATCTACTTGTGCAGTACAGAGAAACCATATCTGGATCATATTACACAACTTTTCATACTCACTCAGGACTATTGATGGAATTGATGTTTTCATTCACTATAGAATCAATCTACACAAATGTCAGTAATCTCTCATAAAGATGGTCTACATTGGACTACGAGTACATAAGAGTAACTTGAAGAAGCAAACTTCTCAGAAGTCGGTGCGTCCAGGTAAGATCATGAATCATAACGCCAGAGGTCGCAAGAAAAGGAGCAGCAGGAGCTAAGGATACGGCTTCCTGATTCAATTACATAACCAAGCAAGATCTCAACCTCTTCCAGCTGTTCTAATCGTCCAATTGTAGGCAACACAGAGAAATGATATCTGGATCAGATTATTCCAACGTTTCATACTCGGCTCCATTGGAGATTGCAGAATGCAAGTTTTTATTCACCAAAGAATCAATCTACAAATGTCAATAATCTCTCAAAATAATGGCCTACTGTGTGGACTAGTAAAGAATGATTGACAAGCTCCATACAAACACAAGGGGGTAAAAAAAACAAAGGATCAACATGTACACTAGAGTAACTTGAAGAAGCAAACTTCAGAGAAGAAAGTGCTGCTACGTTGTATATTGTTAAGGATGCGGTACACTATGCTAGAAGGGGCTGACTTTACGAGCTAACTGCAGCATGAACTCGGGAACAAGGCGACGTCTTGGAGGGGCCACCTTGTCTTTGGCTTCGGCGTCTGGGTCACCAGCATGAACTATGGATACTAGATCCTCAAACATTTGATCTTTCCCACCTCTCATTGGATCCTGAAGAAATAAATCGGTATGAGTCTTGCCTTCATATGTAATTGCCTCGGCCCTCACTCCAGCTTCCTTCAGTGTTTCAGCAAAACTAGTGCTGCAGCAGAATTTGAAGGCTTTTTAGCATGTTGATTTATACGAGCAACAGAACCACCCATTGATCATATCAAGAGTGTGACTGTGTGATTGAGATTCTCACCTGGCCTCTGAGGGGATTGAATAATCTGCAGTGCCATGGAAAAGAACAACTGGAGGCAGCAGAGAGATGGCATTTTTCAAGCTTGGATCCTGGGCTAGTACTTCAGGAGAAAACCTTCTTAAAGACTCTTCACCTTCCATTATGCTGCACTAGCCGAGGCCAATCAGAACAAGCAAAAATTGCAGGTTGACTACAAGGTATAAAAGAACACAACACCTACCTTAAAAATATGGATCGATACAGACCCCGACTGTGGAAGTAATCCACCAGGTTAAATAAGTTGTACCTGTTTTGCAGAGGTTATCAGTAAACATGAGTAAGAAAGGATCTATTAAGTTTAGCTGAAATTCGTTCACTTCATACCCTCCTGATAAACCAAAGTAGGCCTTGATCTGAGAAACACTCCAAGAAACATTCTCCCCTTCACCAGCTTCTTTAATCGCTTGCTCAACAAGGGCACAACCAGCTATGTGTGCTCCAGCTGATTGACCCATCAAATATATCCTACACCAATTGAAACCAGCGGGATCAATGACCAGGAGGTTAAGTAAAAACAAAGAAATTTCAAAAAGAAAAAAAGAGAAGGTAACGGGAAGATGCTATATTACCTACTAGGATCACCTCCATATTCGGCTATCTTTTCACATACAAATGAGATGCCTTGACAGGCATCCTGCACCATGTCGCTCATAGTTCCCTGAGGGAAGTTCCTGTAACCATGAACAAGAGAGTTCGTCAATGGATGAGTAGTCAATCACATGAAATGCATGATCTTTGCAGTGATTTAGGAGTCCCTGCATAAGAAGCATATTGATACTCATACAATACAAGGCGCCCAAAGTAGGATACCAAACAATCCTTTCACCTATAGTCTATGCAAGCCACTATAATGTCTCTTTCCGATAACTGCCATCCTAGCAGGGAACCCCAGGCTTTGTACCTGCACCAGCAATACCAAAGTTTCTCTAAGCAAACAAGGATGAGGCAAGAACATAGAGCTCAGCAAATTATAATTGGTGCATCGCAAATCAGCTGCAGATGGCTCCATACACTACTCACCCAATTATCCAAGCACCACCAGTTACAAAGGCAACAACCGGCTTTGGCCCATCGCTATTTTTCGGTATATACAGATCAATCCTGCATGAAAAATTCATAAATTACTCATTGATGCAGATCATGTCAGCACCATTATGCATAAGAATCAATTACCGGGGCCTACCTATTTCGTGGTTTATCGCCATAAACTACACTTCTGATCACTTGCTTGGAGAAGAAATAATAATATCCAACTGCAGACAAAGATAGAAGCTTTAATGCTGGATGTAAACTTAAACATTAGTAGGAAAGCCAAACTAAGAAGGAAATCAGTGTGGGAATCACAAACCTTGAATGAAACCCGGCATAAGCATCAAAGAGTAGAAGCCAAGAGCAACAAATCTCATAACCCATCTATAGCCTACCCTGAATAAACAGAAATGCTCAGCAACCATAATTGCAGTTGAAACGCCAAGCAGTTCAAACCAACAAAGAGGGAGAATTCAAAAACAAAAAATAAAGTGGGTACCCAAGATAAGTCAAGAGCTGCAAACTCAATCTGGTAAGCAGAAACGTCTCGGCGGCGGCATGACCCACTTCACGGCTCAACGACTGCTGCCGGCCGGCCCCTTCATCCCCCGCCCCACCACCACCACCATCTGAACAAACAATCGAGGAAAGCAGACACGTTTCACTAGCCGTCCGACGACGCCTCTTCTTGCTGTGATCATAAAACTTGCCGAATCCTTCGCTACCACTACTACTACTACTAGTACTACTTCTGGCAGTAGAAATACCTGAGAAGCTAGCATTCCGCGACAGCAGGGGCTTCTTGTGGGAGGCGGCGACCTCGTCGGAGGAAGAAAACAGCGGCGGCGAAGATATCAGGAGCCGGGTTGAAGGGTCGTCGATGACTAGATTCATCACCATCTGATTCACACTTTCCTCTTCTTTGATCGACAATGAAGTCTCTGCAATTGGCGGGGAGGAAGAATTCCCCCAATTTTGGGGGGATTTATGGTGGTGGTGGTGGATTGTGGTGACGGGGAGGATTTGGGACGACGGCATTATTGTATCGTGGTGGTGGTGAATGATCTGGCGGGGGGCGAGAAAAGGGTAGTGGGAATCTCTTATCTGGCGGGTGATTTGGTCGTTTGCGTAGTGAGAAACAAGTGAAAACTTTGCTTTCTCGGCGGGGTGTTTGGTCGCTAGGAATCGATAAGAAACGGAGAGAAATTTTCTCTGGAATTTGTTCATGGCCAGTTGGAAATTTTCTATCTTTGTTCTCTGTGCGCTTCTCCATTTGCCCTACTGTGGAGAGACAAAACGAGATCTCCCAGGAAGGTGGGTGGTCCGGTAAAAGTTTGACGGTTCTCTTCTCCAATGGGAGCTTGCCACATGGCTCAATTTAATTCGATTTTCTGGTAAGTTAGGTGATACTAGGTTTTTGTGGGTTAAGACTTGAGACTCAAGAGACCCATTTGGATAAGATTTTTAGATGAGTTATTAGGAAAAATAATTTGTTGTGAGTTGTTTTTCTAAACGAGATATTTTAAATTATTTCAAATACTATGTATTAATGGTTCAACTAAACGAGATATTTTAACCTAAATACAATAGAAATAATATTGAAACATCAATGAACAATCAATAAATTATTTGACTATAAAAATACCAATTTGACAATTAATTAACCCAAACTACCCTCGACGAATGGCAATATAAGGGAAATAATATCCTTCATCTACACAAAGACTTCTTGAACATGTGAAGTAGAGGATGTCCATTATTTCTTCTCATTTAATATATCGTATTTTATCAAGAACTCTATGCAACTCTCCCAACTCACTCGTGGTTTTTTTCTATATCAACAAAATCGTATAACAGGATTCTCATCTCGGTCTAGTCTACTTGGCTTAAAAGTTAGAAAAAAAATCTAATGACAAATAATAGCAATGTAGATGTAGGGTTCATGAGTGTGGTTGACATGTTGAATAAGTTCAAGCACGACAAATAAATATGTTTGCAAAGCTATCCATCTAATCTCATTTCTCATATTAGTTTCTGACCATGTAAAAATTCGATCAATCTAGTCTCAGTGATGAATCCACCTGCAAAATTGACCCTCAAATTTTTTTGATCCTCGCACCAAGGCCTCGAATTATAATTCATAATTTGATGAAGTGAACACAGAGGTTCCAATTGGATTACAAGTTGTGGCTAATTATTAGTTAAGGAGTCTCATGTAACCCTTCATCTTAATTTCTTCGGAAACAATGCAAAAGGACCTCAACTTTGTTTTATTAGTTTGATGTGTTTAAGGTGTACTCTTTTGGCAGGCTCATAATTGTTATCGTCACTTTGACATGTAATTTCATTCCATACGTCAATTTCCAAGAAGGTAATGCTGAACCATCTGCCTAAAACTCAAGAAAATTGCTTAGCATAGCATTATTTAAAACCAGAAAACAATCATACAGTGGCTTCACCGGAATAAAGTCAAAAGTTGTCACACTCGCGTTATCGCGGCACCAAGTATTGGCCACAAACTGCAACAAATGTCAAATTGCAGGATGGGCCAAAATACTGTATGCGCAGTTGGCTGAGGACGGCCGCAAGTTTAGTAATAAGAACACATGTGATTGGGTTGCTGACAGTTGGATAACTATGTTTGTAGCCAGGCAGATCGGCGGCCCCTAAATGCTGTGGACAAGCAATCTCGACCTCAAGCTCGTGTGCCTAATTTCTTATTAGGCCGCTGCTGACTCGACTGTTTTAAGGACAGCCGGAGGAGCGGCAATAACATGCACAAAGACACCATGAATAGGCGTGGAATGGGTTGGTCCGTGTCGGGCCGTATCGGGCTAAATCGATGTTTAGATTCAATCATACCGAATTGAGTATAAATGTGTAATAGTTTGTGGTCTTGTAAATTTTATAAATACGGAAGAAAAATGAACTGAATTAACATTTGTATCGTACCAAATCGGACCGAATGCACTTTTGATCAATTCCTTGGTTCTAGAATGTCTTTCGCTATTGGATCACAGTTCTCATGAGTTGACCGGATCGAGGCGTTGAACACCCCTAATGACAACCATTTGTGATAAATGTCACGAAGACTTGAAGTAGTAGTTGAAATTGGATTTATGTTATTTCAAAATATATAATTAACATAATAATAATAATAATAATAATAATAATAATATTCAAATAATTTATTTATAACGCAAAGGAGAGGGAGATGGATTTTTTAGGTTTTCCTTACCTATAATTAGTAAAAAGTATGTACTAATAGTGAGAGAAGAAAAAAATGTCATTTTATATCTGAATCCACAAGTTGTAATATCGGTGGTGGAGGAAAAGATCAAAATGTGTTATTCATATTGAGTCATTGTCTCATTGACAATGCATATCCAAATTCTGTCATTGCATAGCAAATTGGACGAAAGTCGTGCGAGGACCATTCTACTAAGTCTCGGCCATAATTTGTGTCATTGCCGGTGGGGGCCCTGACGTAAGTAAAAGTTAAAACCCACTGTTCGTTTTCAACCTTGGGCCAAGCCCAGCTGAAGGAGGTGACATTTGGGCTGCCTATCTCGATCAGGTCCACTGAAGGACCACATCGGCCCGCATCTGGTGGCGGGAGGTTTTCGAGGGCTATCCAGCGCAGCGTTGTATGTCCAGCCACGTTGCTTGTTGCTTGCAATAGTGATCGTTGCCCCAACACGGATCGGATCGGGAACAAATAATGACTATTTATTACATTATACAAAATATTGTATGTGCATGTATAATACGCTGATTTTGTGTTAGATATTGAGAATATTCTCATTTGCACCAATCCATATCTTGAATTGGTATCATCTATTATTCACGATATTTCGATTCAAATTTTACACATTACTAGATATTTCATTTAGTTTGATTGTTACTCAATCCGATTTGATTCGGACGAGTATTCATAATTATGTTATGTTTTCCATCATAAGTGACCGCGACGGGAAGTCATGTTCATAGAAATGGAAATGTAGCACATTTTTCCTTTCTTTTTGGTATTGAAACGTTCTATGCATATGGTCATAATATTGCAGAGTTAAGAAGGTGAAATTTTGACTACCGTCTTGGCAGAGTTGTAGCAAGGATGTAGTGTTTACACCATTTCATCTTATGGAGTTATGGTTCACAATTATTGAACGTATATGGTGACAATATTGCAGTTGGAGCAAAGATTACAGAACTTGTAATCCAACACATAATTTTTTTTTTTTTTATGTCAATCCATAAGAATGCTAACCGAATTCATGTATATATCGATATTATAGTTTGACTATGAGCTAGGTTGGAATGCAAATGGAAGCCTTTTCCAACTCACCATGGATGAATGATACTTGAGTTGCAAAAAAATCATGATACTTGAGTTTGCATTTTACCTAAACTTTTAAAACTGCAAACCGTTTCAATGTGTTGGTACGATGAATTTTATATTACTAGTTGTTCTTATAGGTTACAGAGTCAAAAAGTGACCCGGCCATAAGTTTACTCTATCCTACTCGACCCTAAACTGACTTTGTAGACAAACTGACCCAGTCCAACCTTCAGGGTCGGAGTGGATCAGTGAGCCTTTAGAGCGAAACTTACACCACTATGTGAGAGAATAATTAATGGACCTCTCTACTCTAATTGCCGCTAGGGTTTGAAACAATTTATGTCAATTTGCAACTCTGTAATTTCCGCTTATTAGTACAGATCAGGGAAACCAGTTGGCCAACTGGGGTACTGGTCATCAAACCTAATTAATAAATCATCGCTACCAATTCAGAGCATCTCGAGGATTCCCATTAAACAAATACAAACACTTCCTGCCAAAACCATATGCGATCTTTGTTGTCAGCCTTTGCCAAGTAGTTTTAAAGATATCATTGTTGATATGACTTGAATCGGACTATCAGCCACTACGACTGGTAATCGGGGGTCTCGCTGTTATTTGGTTTCGGGTTCTGGGCCTGGTCTGTAACCGTTTCCTTTGTCAGATTGGATTAGGTTTAGACCCACATGGAGAAGTACTATAAATACTTCTCATACTCCTCTGTAATCTGTAATCTCCTCGATATAGTGAAATTGGCTCTCTCTCGCCCGTGGACGTAGCTAATACACATCGTGTTAGTGAACCACGTAAATCGTGTGTCGTGTTTTCGATTCTCGCTTTCATATTCTTGCTTTGTCGATTCCAGCGATTTCCCGATCCGTAGCAGCGCGTTTATAACAATCATGCTGCAAATTGACCATATGTATTGTTTATTGTGTAAGCTCTTAGATTTTTCAAAACCCGCAAAGTGACGATGGGAAAGAGGACGTAAAAAAATCAACTAATAACGTGATTGGATTCAGTAGTTGTCGAAACTCAAGGACGCATGTCATCATCATCATCATCATCATCAACCTGAGATTTGGACTCTCGATCCCATAGCTTGGCCCCATGGTCAATGGAACTCCATTGCTCGCTTTCTTGAAAGTGGGAGACGTAATGACGTATTATAAGTTGATTGTTTGCTCATCCGGAATGCCACTACTTGAGAAGAAAGGGCCTAAAGGACTACCAAAAACTAGAGCTTTTCAAAGTTGTTACAAATTTTAGATATGTATTACATACATTTGAAAGCTGAGGCCTTCAGCGTGGTTCGGTCACTGATTAGACGAGTTTCATGTGAAAATTCACCTATTTATAATTAATTAGGTGAATTAAATATGACCCACAACCTCTCAAATATACAATATTTGGTGGGTAAGATATTACATCCATAAAAAAAAATATTTGGTGGGTGAGATGGCTTATAAAAATTTGAAAATTTGTATTTTAATTGGAATTTAGCACCCGTTATTAAACTCATATGCATTATCCAATAGTATAACAAGACCAATTTGGTTAGAAATTAACCAAGAGAGTCTGCACTAAAAGAGCTCTGCTTGTATTATACGGATATTATGAATTACTAGATTGTTTCCCGGCTTGTTGGCCGATTACAATATGATGATACTAACTCTAACAAAGTTTAGAAGTTTAAATTTCAGTAACTCTAATTCTATTATATTTTGCTAGGATTATATGTCAATAACATGCGAATTAACAAATAACGATATCAATTTTACCAAGTAACAATCTAGTTTCTTAGTTTTTACCGTTAAGAAATTCAAATTATCCAATTCTTGGAAAATAGAAAATGTGCACGCAGCATACAAATTACAGAGGGTCGTTTGGATTGAGTATTTGACAAACTTGTTGTTTGGGACCAATTACCACACAAATACCACATAATATAAAACCTGTTATTTGGTATGTGATATTTGGCAAATACCTGCCCC